AAATCAGCACAGCCAGCGAAGGATCGAACGCAACTGTTTTGAACGAGCGCACCTTTTTTTAACAACCAAAAAGTTTTGTTGTCTGTTGCGGAAGTACAGACGTTCCTCTCGTTGATAGCAGAGGAGCGGATCCAGCGAGAGCTTGATAGGGCGATGCGGAATGAAAAAGTTTTTTTAGGAGTCGTGGTAGTAGAGGCGGCGCAACTATAACGACATGTGAATAATCCCGCCCACTCTAAAGCGGTACTGAACTGCAGTGGAAACGCGAACCGTGCCGAACCATGCCGTGCCATACTGAGCCGTACCAAGCCGAGTCATACCACGCAGTGGAAAAGCGCCATTAGTGGACTTTGCTATCCTAGGTACTACCAAAAGTCCAGAGTTTTGCGACCTTAGGGAGCGTGATGGATTGTAGCGTGGTAGAAGACTTGTTAGGTACACAGGATGCTAATTGGGGTAATATGATCATATTTTCTTGACCTGGTAAGGACTCTAGCCGCTGCATTTTGGACTACCTGTAGCTTGTTTATTGAAGATGCAGGACAACCACCTAGCAGTGCATTACAATAGTCCAGTCTAGACGTCATGAATGCATGAACTAGCTTTAACAGGTAACATGTCTCGTAACTTGGCAATGTTTCTAAGATGTAAGAATGCTGTTTTTGTAACATGGGAAATATGATTTTCAAAAGACAGGTTGCTATCTAATATAACACCCAGATTTTTGACTGTAGAGGAAGTAACAGTACACCCGTCTAGTTGCAAATTGTAATCCAAGAGATTCTGTGTACTGTCTTTTGGTCCAATAAGTAATATCTCTGTCTTATCCGCAGCTTTTAGAGCCTGTCTATAGCTGGACATACTGTTTTTCCACGCAATTCTAAAAACTTCCAAGTTAGTTTTTCTCCATTTGCGCTCAAGACTACGAGTTTTTTTCTTGAGAGAATGGGTATTACTGTTGTACCATGGCGCAGTACGTTTTTCTCTAACCTTTTTCAATTTGATGGGGGCAACAGCTTCTAATGTATTAGAGAAGGTAGTGCCCATGTTGTTAGTCATTTCGTCACCGAAGAGCAAGAGATACGACAGATTTCTTAGGCATATCTGACAGTGTAACATTAAGCATTAGTATTTTGATTTAAGTTAAGTTTGAGTTAAACCTGTATCCTGTCTTCTGAGTAACATTGAGAATATCACTATATATTGTTGCAACACCGCCGCCATTTCATTTACAATAACTGCTTTGGGTGAGAGTGATCTAATGTTTAGGAGCCCAAACTTAAAAAAATGTTTTTGTTCATATATTTTACATTTTTCTGGTTTAATCACGATCAGATTTTATCTAGATCCTGCTTTAAATTAAAATTTTGACCTCACTATTCGGGGAACAGACACAGTCTTTATAGATTGTACAGTGTAAGTACTTCTATAATTTAAGCGGGTAGAACAAAAGTCATCAGGGCAGTTATTTGAGATTTGACTTACTAGTCATATGGAGCGTAGCGTCCTGGAGATGTTGTCCGACAGGAGTTCCGCTCCGACTCTGCTGGGGTGCAGACCATCAGCGCGAAAAAGCCTAGGACGCTCCCAGAAAAGATTCCAGTTATTAACAAAGAGCAGTTTCTGTTCTTTACACCATGACAATAACCATTCATTTATAGCAAAAAGTCTACTGAACCTTTCGTGTCCTCGTCGATACGTGGGAAGCGGTCCTGACACGATGATCGTCGTCGCAGGCGATGTGCGGCGCACCGTCTCGATCAGGCTCCTGAAGTCCCTCTTCAGTGTCTTCGTCTGCCGCAGCTTGGTGTCGTTAACCCCCGCGTGAAGCACGACCGCTCCGGGGCTCTCGTCACCCTTCAGGATCGCGGGTATCTGCGCAGAAACATCGAGAACACGAGCACCAGGGAAACAGTTAGTGTGCACTTTACCTTCGGCTAACGTAGCACGGACGTGCCAGACGATGGAGTCTCCGACGATCACAGCGCCGCGTTCCGTCTCGCGGAGGGGAGTGAAGCGGTTCTGGGTGGAGATCTTGAAGACCGGAGGTGGCGGAGGGGGAGAGGTCGTCGTCCGGGACCTGGCTCGCGTCTTTCGCTGCGGGTGCACCCATGGTCTGTGGTGTCCCGGCAGTACAACAAAAACAAACTTTTTGCGTGAACATTTGGGCGGCGTTATGCAAATCTTCCCACATAGTGAGGTAGATATGTGGGGGCATGTTAGAACGAGCCGTTTTAGGTAGGCGTGGTTAACTCTTAACTTTTATAAAGAATATCTCTTTGGATTTGAGACTTTAGTCTTTGCAACTTTACAGATCTTCTTTACAGATCTTGCTTTTCCCTCAGATGCCTTTAAAAACCTGAATAAATAGTAAATACACATTTTCTAACAAAAAGTGCAAAGTAACAAGTAGAAAAAGAAGAAAATGCACAAAGAACTTGTATGGAGATTTTTCCATTTACAGATTTTTCCCTGACCTTCTTTTCTCTGTAAATGAAGGGTGCACACTATTGCTGAAAAACACAATCACTACTCAGCAGTCAGATGTCCGTATGCACAAAGACACAGATCCCTAAACAAGGCCATATCTGCAGATGAAACTTTTTTTGTAGAAGCATTTTTAAAATTTGAACTAGCAGCTCATGACTGCACCACGTTATGTACGAGAAGCTGCAAAAGACACAGGTGCAGGTGGAATGTACAAAACATGGTGACATTAATTTTTAAGTAAATATAATCGGCGATATATTACATCACAAAAAATTAGGTCATGTACATATATTGCGCGATAAGTCGATATATTGATTATTGTGACAGGCCTAATTACAAATGGACAAATAAAATAGATAACTTATGTTTAGTTACTTTATGTAGATTTGTTTATTTACATTACTTACATTTATCTAAAGCAGTGGGCAACAGTGAACTCTACATAATAGCACACATACATCACTCAGATGCTTGTGTCTATTAGATGTGCTCATCTGCAATACTTATCAAAGATGATCCTGTCAGATGTTTAATAGACATTTAGTAATCGTCTTTAAGATGAATATATTGTTTATGTAAATCCATTTTGAGACGTGTACTTAATGGAGCTCCGGAGCTCCCCATGCATTATAAAACGTGTTTTTACAGCAAAATCACAAATATGCTATGTAGGTCACAGACAGGGTTTAGATGTTTAGATTATTCTCGCAATTCCAAGATTATATCTCACAATTCTAATTAGGAAAAACAACTCGTCATTCTCTCTTTTCCCCTCGGCTCTTGCTTTTCCCTCAGATTTGACAACTCTCTATTTTTGAGTTAAGTCGAGTTATAAAGAACGAATTAGGAGATATAAATTTGCATTTGAGAGAAAAAAGGTCAGAATTGTGAGATAAATAAATAAGGTTTAAATAATATTTCATGCTGTAACTGTAGGGCTAATACAATACGTCCCCTATGAACAGCATATGTGAATATTATGTATACCTATTGTTTAAATCAAATGTATGCTCATAGCAGTTTTCATCCATAGTATGTCCATTTAAACGTCTGCATTTAGCTTCAAATGGTGTCTTTGACGACGGTATATTATAAAAATGATTTGCATTCCGATCTTGACATCAAAAGGCACAAAAAATATATTTTTTCTTTTATTCCATGGATTTGACCCATTTACCTCCACTTGTTCCCAGTGTTTTTCTGCAACCACTATGTGACGACAGTCAGAGCCAATCACATTACTGTTGCAGAGAGCGCTTTTAAACTCCGTGCAGCGCACAAAACGCCAGAACAAGGTAGAACATGGACCGACGCCTTTACAGGAGCTACTCTTGATTTTGCACTTTTCTGATTTGGATACAACACCGGATTATGCTGTAAGTGTCTATGATAATATCAAACGATTTATTGCGTTTATTATTAGCTACTGTTGCTATATTCTGTTGATGCAGTTGAGCACAAGTCACATTTATTTCTACAGCGCTTTATGCAATACAGATTGTTTCAAAACATTAATTTCTGAGCAACTCTACTGCAGGAAATAACATCATTATTATTATTATTATTCCACTTGTGAGATCGCGAACTGAACTGAGATGAGAGACAGCTTTCTAGTGATTATAAAGTAAGCAGTCTATCGCACTTTCAATGCTATACAGCTATAATCCGTATTATATAATCCGACCAGTGAACTCTACATAATAGCACACATACATCACTCAGATGCTTGTGTCTATTAGATGTGCTCATCTGCAATACTTATCAAAGATGATCCTGTCAGATGTTTAATAGACATTTAGTAATCGTCTTTAAGATGAATATATTGTTTATGTAAATCCATTTTGAGACGTGTACTTAATGGAGCTCCCCTGTTAGTTATGCATTATAAAACGTGTTTTTACAGCAAAATCACAAATATGCTATGTAGGTCACAGACAGGGTTTAGATTAAACCAGGATTCTCGCAATTCCAAGATTATATCTCACAATTCTAATTAGGAAAAACAACTCGTCATTCTCTCTTTTCCCCTCGGCTCTTGCTTTTCCCTCAGATTTGACAACTCTCTATTTTTGAGTTAAGTCGAGTTATAAAGAACGAATTAGGAGATATAAATTTGCATTTGAGAGAAAAAAGGTCAGAATTGTGAGATAAATAAATAAGGTTTAAATAATATTTCATGCTGTAACTGTAGGGCTAATACAATACGTCCCCTATGAACAGCATATGTGAATATTATGTATACCTATTGTTTAAATCAAATGTATGCTCATAGCAGTTTTCATCCATAGTATGTCCATTTAAACGTCTGCATTTAGCTTCAAATGGTGTCTTTGACGACGGTATATTATAAAAATGATTTGCATTCCGATCTTGACATCAAAAGGCACAAAAAATATATTTTTTCTTTTATTCCATGGATTTGACCCATTTACCTCCACTTGTTCCCAGTGTTTTTCTGCAACCACTATGTGACGACAGTCAGAGCCAATCACATTACTGTTGCAGAGAGCGCTTTTAAACTCCGTGCAGCGCACAAAACGCCAGAACAAGGTAGAACATGGACCGACGCCTTTACAGGAGCTACTCTTGATTTTGCACTTTTCTGATTTGGATACAACACCGGATTATGCTGTAAGTGTCTATGATAATATCAAACGATTTATTGCGTTTATTATTAGCTACTGTTGCTATATTCTGTTGATGCAGTTGAGCACAAGTCACATTTATTTCTACAGCGCTTTATGCAATACAGATTGTTTCAAAACATTAATTTCTGAGCAACTCTACTGCAGGAAATAACATCATTATTATTATTATTATTCCACTTGTGAGATCGCGAACTGAACTGAGATGAGAGACAGCTTTCTAGTGATTATAAAGTAAGCAGTCTATCGCACTTTCAATGCTATACAGCTATAATCCGTATTATATAATCCGACAAAAAGTATTGTTTTTCATGCTGGTAAGAGGACCGACAGCCTATCAGTGGTGTATTGTAACGAAGTATTATTATAATAATACTTCGTTACAGTACTTAAGTATTTTTGGGAGTATCTGTACTTTTCTTGAGTTTTTATATTCCAGCCAACTTGTACTTTTACTCCACTACATTTCCTAATTAAAATGTATACTTACTCCGATACATTTCCCTGAAGCATATTCGTTACTTACTACAAAATAGTCAGAAGTCAGAAGAACACGGACTGCAGGAAAGCAGGTTTGATGAATCAGTGTTCTGGGGTCTGACTCATAAAACCACCTTTGCTCGTGCAAACAAACAAGTGTGGGCACAACCGCAGATGATTCATTTTCCACTCAGGTCAAGTCTGAGGTGTGGGATATACAATATATCTGCGATAATATAAGGTAAGTGTTGTTGTAATGATGTGCGATTTGACATTATCAAGTTAGGCTATATCACCAAATCACACACACAGTGCACGCACGTTGATTAATTCGTTTATTAAAACTCAAAATTCCAGGCATTCTAAATTATGGATGGCAAAAATGCTTCTGTATGCTTTTTTATATTTATATAATTTAATATAGTTCACTTAATCTATATCACACAAAGAGTACCGTTTTTCTGCAGATATCAGCATGATAACACATTTAATAATCATTTTATACAAGTTCAGTAAAGCAATAAGTGACCTACATTTTAGAGATAATATTGCTCTTTTTTGCTCAATTTTGCCAAAGAAAAGAGTTCAAACAAAGATCACACACTGTTTTGAGTCTCTGAGCAATGCACGGTGTGTTTACTTATTGAATGAATCAGCTTTTTGAACGAATCGGTTGAATAAATGATTCAGTGATTCACTCATTAACAGTCCAATGCTTTGTTTCTGAATGAATCAGTTGTTTGAATGAATCGGTTGAATCTCAATGACTCACTCATTAACAGTCACTTGCTGTCACCTACTGGGGGTTTTAATTTCACATTTCGACTATTTTTTTCATGTTTTAAACCATGTTTTTATCAGTATTCAACGTTGTATGTTAAAAACAAAGCATTAGGCCTATTTCTGCATCTGTAACTGCAGTTTAAATGCATCCATGTCTCCTCTGAGACACATTAAACTGTGTGAATACATCTAAAAGCTATTTCAGACGCAGATTCCAGAAATGTGTTCTTGTGTTGGAATGAAAGACACTAAGTACCGGATGAAGTGCTTCTTATTCTTACACAAAGACACACAATGGAAGAAAGAGTTAAAACTGAACACAATTTTGCTACTCAAGCTGTGTATGAACTTTATATATATATATATATTTGTTTGCTTCTTTCCCATTTTGCACTTGTACTTTTACTTTCAATACTTGAGTAAGTTTAAGATAAAAAAAATCCTTGTTGTACTTAAGTACAATAAATATCACATACTTTAAGGCTTTTCCTCGAGTAATATTCTAAACGGTGACTTTAACTTCTACCAAAGTCATTTTCTGGTAAGATTCTGGTAACTTTTACTTGAGAATGGCTTTCAGGTACTTTATACACCACTGCAGCCTATTACATTCTGCGAAGTTTTGGGAGTGATATTATCTAAATATAAATATAGTACGAGGCAAAAATAGATAGATATGCTCAATGTAAATGCAGACTAATAGATTACTTGAAAAATATTAGTATTGATATAGTTCTTAAAATCCATTCTATTTATTTGTAAAAAAGTAATGCCTTGTAAATATTCTTGTGTCTCACGATTGCTATTCTTCCTATTTATTTTATTTTTTTGTGGTGGATCTGTTGCTTAAAGGTACGGTATGTAGGATTGACGCCGAGTGGTTGAACTAGGTATTGCAGTCCAAATTCAAAATATTGGGCTGCATTCAGCCCCGACAAAAACGGTGCACACCGGTTTGTGCTTGAACTTAACCTTGGAGAGGGTTTTTTTCACCCGGCCCCTCCTCCTCAGACTTGATGCACACACAGGTTGCCAGATTGACACCAACAGGAACAAGCGCAATTGACGATGAATGAAATTAAATATGCTGTGTTTTCCGCCAACTGGCAACCGGAATGCCGAAATACAATTGGGTAAACTGGCAGTGGGCGGGTTTCACAAACCAAAACAGAGAAAGACATTCTGGACCGGAACGCACATTTTCAAAGGAGAATAACTTACTGTAGCATTGTTTTTCAGATAAACAAGTATGTTAACTTAGCATATTTCTTAAATATCTGCAAACATATTTTGGTATTTTTATGCTTTAGTAGAGTCAAAAACGTACATACAGCACCTTTAAAGGGGTCATGTAAAGGTTACTTCCTTCACTTTGTTTACCAATGAAGAGACAATGTGTTGGTGTAGAGACAATGTCTTTTTGAAGTAAAATACTTGAAACCAGAAGAGCATTTTAACGCTGTTGATCCGCGTGACATCTTGGCGTGGAACTTCTCGCAGCTCGTGCTTGATTCTGAATGGAACGCTTTTGATTCGGTTCACGGAAGTTGCTCATAATTATTTACTGCACCGGATTAGAATCGGTTTCGCTCCTCGGTGTCAGACAGCAGAATGCGGTTGACATGTCGGCTGCTGTTCGCTGGCTGTATATGGGAGAATGGTGGAGTTTGTCGATCACGGTGGCGATAGAGCCGATCAGCACCAGCATCGCGGTCGGTATGGCCGCGGCGCTCACCGGATTCCTGGCCCGTTATCAGAACGTGCTCTATTACTTCCAGGAGTGCTGCAGACCGGAGTGGATCTCATACAACAAAACCTGTTTGCAAGAGCTGCTTTGTCTTTATTTGTTGTGTTAGAACACAAGAATGGATAACTTTTAGATTTTTGATTAACTTAAAATAAAATTAAAATAAAAATTCATATCTACACTGTAAAAAAAACTTCCTGTAGAAATTACAGTAACTAACTGGCAGCAGTTCGCTCGTAACTTACTGTAATTTTTTTTGTAGCAAAAATACTGTATTTTATTTTACCGTGTCATTTAACTTGCTGTAAATGTATTTACACTGTAATATTGTTTAACTGTAAAATATTTTATTATTGTATTAATTTTTTGGTCCTTTCTTGAGTAATGCATTTTAAAACAATAGAAAATATACTGTTATACTGTAAAGGTTACTGTAATTGGTTTGCTTCACTTTTCAGTTACTGTAAAACTATATGCACAAATTGTAAAATTAGCAGTTCCATTAAATAACAATGGGAAAAAAAACAATGACAACTGTGTAACTTCATATTTTTAATTTTCCCAATGCCCTCCCCCAACCCAAGCCTGAAACTTTACATTAAAGAACTGTAATATATTAGACTATTTGCAGAATTTAAAACTATTTACATAGGCAGCACTTCCAGTCAACCTTTTGAGCTCTCTTGAACTGGCTGTCTGTCACTGGAAGGCACATGAAACCACCTCCTGCATTGATGGCATTCGATCTGAAAAAAGAAAGAAAGATAATAATCCAATCAAATTGCTTAGTAATCAGTTATTCATTTCAACTCAGTTCGATTCATATTGCTTTACTGGCATGACATCCTGAAAATAACAGTAGAATACTGGCAGCTGTGGTTGCTGCAAGTAATGAACTGTAAATGTACATTTCTCTACAGTTTATTTACATCTCTTTTTTTTTTTTACAGCGAACTGTTGTCAGTTAGTTACTGTAATTTCTACAGGAAGTTTTTTACAGTGTAGATACGAATTTACAGTTTATTTTAATAAATATCAAAAATCTAAAAGGAGTGCATTATAACTGAGAACTACACGAACACTTCACAGCTGGTTGTGTTACTGTAAGTAATTTTCCTCAAATTCTACAGGAAGTTTTTTACAGTGTAGATACGAATTTACAGTTTATTTTAATAAATATCAAAAATCTAAAAGGAGTGCATTATAACTGAGAACTACATGAACACTTCACAGCTGGTTGTGTTACTGTAAGTAAATTTCCTCAAATGCTATAGAAGTTAGGAAAGTGTATACCAATGTCGTATGTAACTTTAGAGACGGTCCCTAGATTTGCGAATATCGAGTGCCGGGAAATGACACCTCTGGCCATTCCGTTGGGTCGTGTGAACAATACGGATCACAGATACTGTACGGACAATACGGCTCAGTTTTTCTATGTATCTTGTTCTGTTGAACGGCAAAAGTGACTTTACTAGGCTTTACTGGAAGTCCATGGTTGACACCCTCTCATTAGCATGTTGTGCAGAGGAAAAATACATGTGGAACTACATTCAGAAATAAATGAGTGATCAAAGGAAAATAAATAGGATGAGTTTAGCATTTCCTTAAACATTTTCCATTTGCCCACCAATTTATTTTCCTACTTTAATCACATGTTTAATTATTTCTATATGTATTTAAACAAGAATTTGTGTATTTATACACACATTTATTTATTTATTTGCATATTTATTTATTTATTTGTGTATTTATTTATTTATTGTTTTTGCAGGTTTCGTCCTCCATACCCTCTTGTGACCATTACATTATGAATTGATTATGTAATTGGCATGATACAAGTTTACCTGACAAATAATACATTGTTATATTTGATTTATTCTGATCTCTTTTGAAATCATTTTTCAAGTAGATTATTGTGTAGTCTAACATTTCTGCAAATCTGCATCCAGGACAGATCATACTTAAGTTCCAATGAGCGGGGCAGGGGGCTCTCCATCAGGAATCTTCTGATTTCTGTCTGTCACCTGGCTTAACAAGTTACAGTTTTCATGATTATAGGAAAAAATAAACTTTTTGTTATTTGCTAGCAGTTAAAGGTATTGTAATCACCCTGCATCCTCTGAGTAAGTTCAGAACTGGCGAGTTTGTGTCCGTGAGTTCAAAGTTGGCCGAGTGAATTTCTGAGCGATGTTAGGTCCTTAATGAATGAATAATTGAAAGTATGGGATTTCCAGAATACTCAAATATCTAAATGAATAAACAATTGATATCTGTGATTAGCTTTTGATTAGAAATATTGCCTACATTTAATGATCACGTGAAATTGGAGTCCGATTGAAAACGGAGCTAGACTAAGATTGAAACAGTCCTGATAAATTCAGAAGAGCAAGTAAAAGACCGAATACGCATTAAACCTTCGACCAGGCCGCTGGATTCCGCTTTTTGGGCTGGTGGGTGGATTCTTACACGCTTATGAGTTGAACAACGCGGTGGTCGCGCCAGTGCGACCTCTCACAAAATTAGTCACACAGGCAGAAAAAATGGTCGCAGTCTGGAGTCCTGCAATTAATAGTAAATATAACCAAAACAGGTTATTATTATTTTTTTATATGAATAATAAAATAAATATAAGGAAAACTCGCCCACTCGATTTTGTATTATTCTTTCATTTTGAAGTCCGTATGAAAAGGTGCATTTCTATTAAAGGCACGTCCATGTGGAGATGGCGAGTCAGCGTCGGCATTCGGCAACCTCATCTTTGCACCCGACACTGACTCAGAAAGCACTAGTTTATTAATAATTAATTAAAATGTCTTCTTTTCCCCCGACACGTTCATAATCACTTTGCCGGTGCTTTGAGGCAATTGCTTTATGCGCAAACTTGAGCGCGTAATAGCCTATAGCCTAATACGCCTGCCTATATATTAAAGGATGGTTAATATATAATTATATTAATCAATTAATATAACGTGCGACTAGTTGACTAGAAAGATCTTTAGTCGGGGGCAGGCCTATGCTTAGCACAAGGAAGCGCTCCATTTTTAAAATAAAATAATGACACTACGAAAAGTGTGACAGCTGCAAATCACATTGTTATTGCATTGCACGAGTTATGCATGTGTAAGGAGTCAAATGTTTTTTTTCTTCTTTTTTTATCATAATTATTAAATATATAGCATGTATATAATTGATTCTAGTAAAAAAATGTATGGGGGTGCTTTAGTCTTTCTTGGGGGTGCTGAAGCACCTGCTAGCCCCTCCCTAGCGCCGCCCATGCTGTGAAGTCAAGTCACCTTTATTTATATCGCTTAACAATACAGATTGTCAAAGCACTTTACAGTGTCAAATAGGAAAATAGTGTGTCAATAATGAAAAAAGACAATAGTAAACACTCAACTTCCAGTTCATCATTGAATTCAGTGATGTCATCATCCAGCTCAGGGGACAGTTCTCCTCTGGCCAGACCAAACCAGCAGTTCAATTCCAGGCTGCAGCAAAGTCAGATTGTGCAGAGGACTCAACTGGTTATAAAAAGCATATACAAAAATACAGAAATCCTTCCAAAATAAAGCTTAACAGGGTAAAAAAAGATGAAGTAATTTAAAAGAAACATCCTTCACCTTGTTAGTTATTAAATATTTGGATGACAAAGTCCACACTTTCTCTCATGGAATATTATCATATTTAGGCCATTCCAGTGAGACACAGTGTATGGAAGAGAAGTTATCTGAAACCTGTGGTGTTTTGTAGTTTAACCACAAGGTGGCTGTATATTGTTACGTGTAGAGGTTCTACTTGGTATTCCCTAAGAAGCCATAAAGTTCTGTAAAAAGATAGCGTCTGTTGTATAAACGGTTAAGAGGATTTACTTGTGCAGTTACTGAGTACCAAGGACACAACACAACCGTTGTCTAATTCTTTCCTTGTAATGGCATCCATTACAATAGCGAACTCTAAGAGTGACAGCTATATTATATTTATTCACAATTTCTGAGTGAGAATATAAGTAACCATCAGAATTTATTAATTAAGAAACTAGAATGATATTATTGACCCAATCTGGGAAAAATAAAGATTTATTTTTATAAAGAATATCATTATTATTCCAGATAAAATAACCATGAGGACTAAAATTATGTTTATAAATTAGATGCCACGCCAAAAGCACTTGTTTATGAAAATGTGATAATTTAAAGGGCTATTTAGTGATATTGTAATTACATAACAATAGGAAGGGGAGACCTCCCACCTTAGAGAAAACAATAGGAAGAATATTCCTAAATGAATCAGGATTTGTTAAATACTACTTTAACCAATTTATCTTACAAGTATTATTTAAGGAGGCAAAATCTAAGAAATTTAAGCCACCATATTCATATTTATTTATAACAACAGACCTATGCTTCCACAGAAAGTCAAATAACGTTCTATATATATCTGCACCCCTTGTGTTTGTGAAACGATGATGTTATCACCCCACGTCTGCGCAGGCTCCGAGTCTTCTCTGTTTTTAGTGCATCTCTGGCAGAATTACAGACTGGTCCGGCATGTATACTACATGGTTTTTAGTCGGTTTCACACTGGTTTCGTTTGTACACAGACATTTCTTGAAACGACGCCATGTTTACGGAAGAACAAGGAAAAAAAGATGGGATAGTGAAAGCTCTGGCTTCATGTGGATGTGGTCTAAATTGTACTTTCATATTGTTTGCAACAGATAATCTGCAAGCAGACATCATTACATGACAGAAAACATATGGACCGATCTGCAGACGAAAGACAAGAAAAGAACGAAAGAGAAAAATGGCAAGATAAAACCTAATGAACCAGGAGAGGAAAAGACTCTGATGTTAGTCAGAAGGAAAAGCATTCAAGACAAAAGACCAAGCTGTGAGTATTTATGATGTTTAAGACAAAACACGTCTTTAATCATCAACACTGTTTCTCCTCCTCTAATCTGTGAATGGGTCATTAATAAACTATATATCAAAATAACCATTACATTTGTACATTTGGCAGACTTTTTTTTAATCTAAAGCAACTTACACTGAATTCAAGATCAGTTCATATTTCATGAATCAGAACTGAACCCGTGATCTTGGTGTTGCGAGCACCATTCTTGTACAGAACTGCTGTAATCAGATGTTTGTGTTTTTCATTTCTAGTTTCTCAAGATGCAGACGGCTTCATTCTGATGCTTCAGAAAGAGTCACAGACTCTCACACATCAGATCCAGCAGCTGATTTCTGATCCTGGAGACTGAGCTTCCTATAGAGTCCAGCTTTCTGGAGATCAAGCCGGTGTTCCTGGAGATTTGGTTTGGAGCTCATCTTTGCAGGAGACAGATCTGCATAAACAGGATCAGGCTCCTGAGGGGGCATGGTGATCACAAAAATATGAGACATGAGGAAAAACTGTAGTTCACAAAGCAATGCAAACATTTCACAAGTGAACTTTGATGATATTCATACCCCTGTGCGTCCACATTCTACACCATCAAAGAAAGTCACATTATACAATGTAGCACTGTTCTTAAGTGATGAGATATTAGCTAAAGCTTTGTCTCGTTATGGCAAACTCTCTCCCATTAAAAAGATCCCTATCAGCAGTGATCACTCTTATTAAAACATGTTTCGTTTACATGACGATGCTGTAAACATTATTTATTTGCTAAAACTGTCATGTCAACCTTTCAGTCATTATACACATTGTACCTACATCATATAACTCATCTCAAACCCATGCATCGCTCTTTCTTTCTGTCAAAAACCGGTTTCTTCATGAAGCTGTTTGTGTCATAATAACACTGGTTCTGTAACAGAATATGATCCAGATTCAGGCACATCAGATGTGTGTTTGAGGATCAGTGAGTTTATGATTCATGATGTGAAACACGATCCTCGTTCACTGCCTTCAACCTGAAACTAAAGGCCTTTGAGTTTGAAAATCTTCTGTCATCTGGTGGACAAATATAGAAATTACTGCTAGTCTTCAGCAGAGAACACTTTCATGAATTTGTTTTATTTATAATGCCCTAATTTTTGTTGTATGTAATTTAAATTCTGTGCTCATAAATATAGACCTAAATTTGTATATATTTTATAAAGTATTTTGTGTGTTTGTGTGTGTGTGAGAGAGAGAGTGTGTGTGTGTGAGTAAGAGAGAGAGTGAGAGAGAGTGTGTGTGTGTGTGAGAGAGAGAGAGAGAGAGTGTGTGTCTGTGAGTGAGTGAGTGAGTGAGTGAGCGAGTGTGCGTGCGTGCGTGTGTGAGTATGAGTGAGTGTGTCTGTGTGTGAGAGTACTGGTTTATATATCCTGGTGGGGACTTAAACCTGACTACACACAGACTCATGGGGACTCGTGTCACGGTGGGGACCTAAATTGTGGTCCCCATGGGTACAAAAGCTTATAAATCATAAAGAATTAAGTTTTTTTAAAATCAAAAAATGCAGAAAGTTTCCTGTGAGGGGTAGGTTTAGGGGTAGGGTTGGCTCTGAACACACAATGTCTATCATTAATTAATAGCTCATGGTATGAATATTGGTCAGGAGTTTCTATGTGCTTGTTTTTGTTAACGTGGTCTTTTACTATGAATGCTCACCCAGTAGGAATTATTGCAGAAAAACTCTACTTTTATTACTACATGAAGAACTTGCATAATTCATGTCGTAGACCTTCATTCAGTCATTGTTATGCCACAGTAATATATTTTTCACACTTTTATAAATTCAGAACTTAAATTCAGAAAGTTCCAATCTGAAAGCTGCAGCGATGGGGAAACGCAGGACTTTTGTTGGGCCTAGAAACGGTTGACCATCGTTGCTGTGAGGTGCTTATGAAATTGTCTCGGTATAGAAGTGTAACCAAAGTAAGTGGGTGTGTTTTCTGTCTCCTTTTCTGGTAATTCATTCATCCTCATTCCTGACTCTTAAGAAGGAGTTCTGGTAGACCAGTGACAGACTAAATATATGCGCTCGATGTAGTAGAAGAGCTGTAGCTCTGCCAGCCTATTTAAAGACAGAAGCTGTCACACTCACTCAGAAGAGAAAGTGTCTTGCTCTGTGATTCTTGCTGTGATTCTTCATGGCTGTTGTGGAAGTCTCTGAATGTATTTTTTGAGCTGAGACCGGGGCTAGTTGTCACAAAGCTTTTATCTCAATAACTCACAGTAAAGGATTTAAGACAGAATATAATTACTTGTTTTAGCTCATTTTAACCTGTCTTACATTAGGATATATTGTATTAAATTGGGATATTAATTATATTTAATTGCTGTTTGACAAACATATAAACATGCTTGTTGTCATATTACTAAGGCAGCAGAAACTGAAAGTGTTGAACAGTCTGTAAGATCACAATCAGCACAGCGCTGCTCTCTAAACCAAACTCTCTGTTATTAAAACATTCATTGATTGTTTATTTTATTCCATTTTTTTTGCTTAAATTAGATGGAAGTTAGGAGAAATCCTGGAGATGCATATTTATGTAACCCACCCAAATAATCGAGTTGACTGACCTACTATTTCTGTCAATATTTCTGATGCTTGAGAAACATTTTTTAATTTAAATTAATATTTTTGTAATATATGTTTTTTTTTCATTCATTACTTAATGCTAGGGATGCACCGATACCACTTTTTCCAGTACTCGCCCGATACGATACTTTTATTTTTGGTACTTGCCGATACCGAGTACCGATACCAATATTTTTATTGCATTTGTAAATTTTTTAAATATTGGGTACAGAAACCAAAAGAGTATGTATAATGTTAGTTGGTTAACTTCAAACCAAAATGTATGCAGACACCTTCAACATTTCTCACATTATCACAGTTTATTCGCTATAGTTTAGAAAATGGTAATGAAACGTGTTACGTGTTTCTCTAGTAGTCCTTATCTCAAGTAGTCTTTTATTTTGTTTGGTGCTTTCTAGTATTTTACTTATAGTTTTGTTAACCTTCTTTTAATTTTATTATTATAATTTTTTTTTAACTTTTATTTTTATCAGTGTTTTTATTCTCTTTCTGCTAAGGTCTTGATTGCTGTGGTGTGTTCTGGTTGAGTCTTGTCCTGTCCTGTGGTGCTGTTCTGTCTCTGTCTGGCGGTCAGACTGGCTCAGAGTTAGTGTTGATCTAGTAACAGATCTCATCTTTCTTGTGCTTTGCCTGGTCTTCATCACTGTCTGTCTGACTCTGCCTGCTCCTCTGCAGTTAACTGACCGGTTCTTATCTAAAGCTGGTTCCAGCGGTCGTTCTCTGTTCCTTCATCGTGTCCTGTATCCTCTGTTGTTTCACAGATCACTCTTGTGTTAATAAATCTCTGTAATGTGCCGTTCTGTGTTTGGGTTCTTCCTCACAGATCCTGACAGAATGAGTCATGAGCACAGGAGGCCGAAGACACACCCACTTACTTTTCGGGTTAAGTGGGCATGTTCGGGCGTGTAAAATAAAACCATTATAAATAAATAAGTGTGTATGTATTTGTTAATTTGTATATTGTTATTCCCTATTTACTTGTTCTATTTTTATTCTTTTATTATCTGAGTTTTGTATTGTGACTGTCATTCTGTTACACTGTGGAAGCTTCGGTCACAAAAATAAATTCATTTTATGTGTAAACATACCTGCCAATAAAGCTCACTCTGATTCTGATATCATTTTAGGACACCCTATTGAATTCCATGGTTTTCTGTATCAGTGTATCAGGAAATATCTGGTCCTTGGCAGGTCTTAAAATGTGGAATATAAAACCTCAGATGAACAACATCACATGACTAGATGACTAGATTTATTATTATGTCCGGATGCAAAAAACATGGAATTGAAAAGAGTGTCCTAAGTTTTTCACATGACAGTAAACCATGCCATCAGTGATTTAGATGATCATGCAGTGTCTCATGTATTTGATCCCCACTCATGATGTGTGTGATGAGTCTCTTTATGCTCCATGTGTGACATTATGATCCTCATTCAGCTGCAGAGCTCTGATTCTCTTCACTGACTTTAACCTGAAGACCTTTGAGACTGAAGATCTAGTTCTGCCATCTAGTGGACAAAGATGATAACTGCAGTCAATATTCTACATAAAGCACATCTACTGATACATATTTGATTGATAATGCCCTAAATTATATTTAATACATGTGACATTCTCCCAGGTTAATTCAATAAATGTCATTTAGTTATCAGCTCACAAACAATAATGGTGATTTTGCATTTTGTGTAAAACATAACTTATAGCAAGCTTATGCAATCTTTGATCATTTTCTGCTCTAATGATTCTGTTGAAGTCTAGTGTAAAGTCTTGAGCTCGTGTGTTTGTGTTAAAGTCATTGATGAGCTGCTGATGTGAATCAGGTGTGTTTCATCACAAACACATTTACATGAGCAGCTGAGTCTGAAAGGGTTAAACACTCTGGTCTTGTTTCTGAAACACTTTTAAATCTGAAGCACAATTCATTCTCTGACGGGGAAATGCTGTTTGAGACTTTGGCCCAAACAATCTGATAAAAATACTAGGTCATCATGTGATGTCAAGGTGATTTTCCTACAGTAGATTTTTTGTTTAATACATGTCTATTTATGTTGAAGATGAATGTGAAAAATGCTGTGGTCTTTAATTGAAGTGGTTTTAATTTTTTTCTAACACGTCTATACAGAAATAATTAGTTTTTTATATATATTTCGGTAATAAGGAAAATGTGTTATGTGAGACTCATCATCAGCTGACAGATGAATCCAGAAAGAGTCTCTGGTAAGAACAGAAATCATTAACGGTTTCTTATTTTTAATTTGTAAAGAAAGTGACATTCAGAAATAGATATTTTACAATGCTGAGTGAAATTGCAGATGAAGCACGTGAGAAACCTGAGATCAGACCCATCGAACCATGAGCACCATCAGCACACGAAACTAAAGGTTTTGATTGAGCCGAGAACAAAACTCACAGAATCCAGTGAGATTTATATATATTTTAGTGTTAGAGCTGTTTGACTTAAACGCTGTTTCCCAAAATGTTCTGTCCCTGTTCAATGATTTCTAAGAAACACTTTAAATACAACAAATTATGTGAAAAAAGTGAAATTTGCAAGTATGTAAGTTACTTTCATTCCATGGTAAATACTTTCATTTACATTTGTAGATCCCTTTAACTCTCACGGGGGTATATCTTTAGATGTTTCAACCCGTTGTCTTGCAATCTCAGTGAAAATTAGAGGAATGCTGCCAGTTAAATAGGGTTTGTCATATAAATAAAGAAATTAGCACCAGGTGCCAGATTAACAAAGATAACTGTGTGTTTTCTCATTTTGATCAGTTATTTTTCTAATATCTCATATAAGCTTTTTATACTGTGCTTCAGAATACAATTAATTAATGAAATATGCTTAAAAACTGCCCCTCTACCCGTTAGGATAACTTCAAATAGGACTAAGCAGTGACCTTGACATTTTGGAAATTGTAAGTTGTTCTCTAATTTTGATCTCCACTGTACAAATCTTTTGTGTTTTATCAAACTTTTTGAGAAGCTTAATAAAGCAGTTTTGTTTAAAATAGAAACCACTCAAAATCAAGTATGTTCCCTTAAAGAGGCATTTATAAATTTTTCACCAAAATGTGAAACTTGCCCTCACTGGTGTCTTAACCAAAACACAGGAGAAATATTTTACAGCTGGAAGTCTGAGCAATGTTGCTTCAGTTTGTGGTACACAAACTTCCTCATTGCCACTGCATGGCGTTGTGTCAGCTGTCTGGGATTGATGGTTCTGGTTAGGGCAAGAGCATTCTGGACAGATAAATTAAAAATAATTAATTCCACATAAAAGATGTCCATTTATTTATTAAAAAGAAAAAGGGCTTTTCACATATGAAATAGTAAACCTGAGTCATTCTAAACCCTGGGTAAAGGGAATCCTGGGTTTTCTTATTT